GAGTGGGGCGAAGACCGAAGCTTCCAGCTCCTACGTTCGCTTATAAATAGCCATTACCCACCCCCTGGAACCTGCCAGAGGCCGAGGGTCACGTATCTGACTGAATTAGAGGAAGATCCGGAGCCGGGGTTTGTAGGCGCACTGGTTCCTGACTTCAGGTCTCCGGCTCTGGCTTGGCCACGTTTCAGGGCTCCCGCTGTCCTCTGGGGAAGAAAAAAGAATCTTTTAAAATTAGGTCAAAAGATGCCTTTTTCCTTCTGTCCTCATTCCCCTATTGTGTGGAGAGAAAACCACCGCCACCTGCATATCCCTGGGTCGGAACCACAGCCCAGTGACTGAAGAGCGTCCCCCCTGCAGCTGCAGAAACTTCCTCCGCGCTGGGCCCGCATTCCCTTCCTGTTCGCATTGTTCTCAGCGGAGCCTCCGGCTGTCAGGGCAGGCCTGCCAGGTACTCGCTCTTAGCCGTAAAAAGGGGGGGTTTCACCCAGTGATGGACTTGAAGAGACAGCAATATCTGGGTAACTTCTTTTTCTATTCTTTTTTTTTTTTTAATAAATCAGGCCAAAATATAGGAGACATTTCTTTTTTAAAACTTTTTTAAGCTTATTTATTTTTGAGAGAGAGAGACACAGTGAGAGAAGGGGAGGGGCAGAGAGAGAGAGGGAGACCCAGAATCAGAAGCAGGCTCCAGGCTCCAAGCTGTCAGCACAGAGCCCGACGCGGGGCTTGAACCCACAAACCGTGAGATCATGACCTGAGCCGCAGTCGGAGGCCTAACCTACTGAGTCCCCCAGGCGCCCTTATAGGAGACATTTCTTAAGCCAGGAATTCTAAACAGATGCCTCATATCAGTGCAGTCACACCAGCACTCTATAGCATTTACATAGAGGCCCTTCCATTCCTCCATGTCTCGGGTTCTCTGCGGGGAGGGCCCGGAGGCTGGTGGGGGGGGGGCCCTTTGTGGTTCCCAAGTGAATCCCAAGCCACACTGTTTCATCAGTCCGGATTCTTCAGCACACAGCCTACAGCCTGCAGGCTCTTCGAGGGTCCCCAGAAATATTGGAGACCGAAGAAAATGTATCAGCTCCCTCCGTGAGTTAGAGAAGATTTCTATTTAATGCGAGGTGTGGGTTCATTTTAATGTCTCAGAATAAGGCGGCCTGGGGTCCGCCTGCAGACAGCTCCTAGTTTGGAGGTGGGAAGAGAGGCTCAGACGCCCCGGGGGTGGCGACAGGTGGCGCTGTGAGCGGGAAGCCTGGGCAGGTGTGCAAACACGGCCTCGGGGCAGCCCAGAGCAGAGACCAGCATACTTCCTGGAAGGGCGTTCTAGGCCAAGGGCCCTGCGGCTGCTGAGGCCCAGAGGGTGAAGGAGCCTGGTGCGGCTGCGAACTCCGCGGTGGCGGCCGAGTGGACGTGGGGCTCCTGTGGGGGGGCTGCCACCGGCACCCCAGGGTGTTCGGCGTCACCCCTGGCCCCCACCCACTAGTAGGGCCCGTCACCAGTGGTCACAATCAGAACCATCTCCAGACGTTGCCAGATGGCTCCCGACTAAGGACCCCCCGCTGCACAGGGATGTGGTCCACCGCCTGCCCCGGCCCAAGGGCGGAGTGGAGGGGGCCGTTTCTTCTCACCTCCTGTCCAGCGTGCAGGTCCCCCGGGGGGTGGGGGCTCTCTCTGGGCAGGTCTGGGCCAGGCCCAAAGTCCTTCGGTTTATACGGACATGTGTGAGTAGGCTGCGGGCCGAGCTCTGAGGGGGCGTCATATCATGGAAGGGAGGACGTCCCCCCCCCCGCCTCCCCCCCAGGCCCTCCTGGTGCCTCCAGGTGCTGCCTTCCCAGCCTAACAGTGCTTTTCTGTGTTTGGTGCCTTCAGCGGGTCCTCAGGACAGCTGGGCGGGGCGGCTGCGCTCTGTTTGTTGTTGGATCAGGTCACATGGATTTGATTTTAATCCCTCAGGAACCTTCACCGAAGGGCCTTCATCAGAGTGGGTGCGCCTGGGACGGAATGAGACAGCCGCATTGGCTGAGGGATGGGTTACAGCTCTAAGGTGGGAGGTGTTTGGAGGGTGAACTTCAAGAGTTCAGAATCACTCCAGCGCCCAGAGGAGCCGGCCATGTGTACTGGGGCCTCAGAGCCGCTCCCCACAGCTGGGGGGGGGGGCACACAGCTCCCCGCACACCAGGGGGCCTTCGGAGGGCACTGCGGGGCGGGGGGCTCCTACCACCTTGCCCTACCATTTCCTCCTGGCTTTCCAGTGCTTTCCCCAACTTGTAATTTTGATTTCCAATGTGGAGAGAAATTGAAAGAGTAGTGAACTATGCCCTTTACCTAGTTTAACCAGTGTTAGCCTTTTGCCATATTTGCTCACGCACTGTCTCTGGGCACACGCACTCACACTCACACCTCTTTTTTCTGACCGATTTCGGAGTAAGCCGCGAGCACGGAGACATTTCACCCTTAAACACCAGCCCGTATCGCTTAAGGACCAGAATATTTTCCAGCGTAACCAAGAGACATTGATGCAATACCATTATCTAATCAATACCCCTTAGTAAATTTTCCCTAATTGCCCAATAATGGCCTTGATGACTCCATCCCCTCCTCTCTCCTGGATCCCATCAAGGACCATTCACCACTGCCTTTAGTTGTTAGGCTGCATTATCTTCTTTCCTGATCGGCAGGAATTGGGGGTGGGGAGGGGCGGCTGCCTTTCTTTTTTTCTGTAAAGTGGATTTTCATTTTCATTTCAGTTAAAATGGCTGATGCTTCTCTCAACTCCTGAGCCAGAAGGGGCCGAGAGGATGCAAGGGACTCATGCATGCACTCAAATCCAGGTCCTTAATTAGCTCGGTGGCCTTGGGCAGGTTACTTAACCATCCCTGAGTCACAGTTGTCTTTATCTATAAAATGGGAATAATTCTTACCTCGCAGGCTTGTTGCAAGGACTAAAACAAGACAGTGTAATGAATGTGACTGACCTTATGCCTGGCTCTTAGAGAATGTTCCAGCAATAGCAATAGTTACCATCATTGTTCTGTCACATACCCTGGCTGCACAGAGCAGGAAGGAGCTTTGGATCAGGTGTGAACTTGGGGTGGCGACCTCAGGACGAATTCCTTATCCCAAGATCATCCCCTAAGAATGATGCCGCGTCCTACAAACTCCCTGACTCGCCAGAGCTGCCATTAGACCTCTGTTGCTCAGGCTGGCGGAACAGGGTTCGGGAATGCCGAGCCCAGCTCTGGATGGAGGAGGCCGAAACGTGGAATTTATTAATTAAGGCCATTGCTAATGAGGCCCCAGAGCCCGGGAGGTTGCAGTTTAATTACTGAGAGCAGAGCTTGTGGAAATCATCTCTGGTGCCCCAGTTTTGATGTCGCTGAGGGTCTGAGCCGCTGCCCTGTGTGCAGCTACAGGCCAGGCTCAGCCCTGCCTCCCTCTCCTGGGCCCTGTGTGCTTTTTACCCACTTACTCAGATCCTGCACAGCAGTGGAGTGGAGTGGTTCAGAGCTCGGGTGATCCAGGTTCGAATCCCGTCCCAGCACGGAGTAGGCCCAGCTGAGAGAGCACTGGGCAATCCCTGCATCCCCACGGCCTCATTTGTGAAAACTTACAGGGATGTGTGTTGTGAAGGCTGAATGTTTCATGCACAGGATGGGGTGAGCACCGTGCTTGGCCAATACGTGGAGTGTGTGTTAACTATTTCTTTAAAGGAATTCTCAGCCAGGGGTGTTTTGCCTCCCAGGGAACTCGTAGCAGCGTCTGGAGACACCTTTGTTTGTCACAACCGAGGAGGAAGTGCGGCTGGCATCTGGCGGATAGAGCCCAGAGAGGCTGCTAGGTGCCCCACGATGCACAGCACAGGCCTCACAGCAAAGAATCCCAGAATCTTGATAGGCCAAGGTTGGGAAACTCTGCTCTAAAGCATCCGCAGTGATTCAAGGCAGCATGTGGGACGTGGAGGTGGGGTCTTGCACCCCAGCCCTTCATACCTTATCGTTCCTTTGAGCCAGCTGGGGGCCGATGGGTGAACTGGGAGGGAAGGGAGAGGAAAGGAAGCCAGGTATTTGAAGCTTTTGAATTCTTACTGTTTAGTCTTGTTCCCACCCCACCCCCATCCTGTAACAAAAATATCACTTGCTAGGATGCCTGGTGGCTCAGTTGGTTGAGTGTCTGACTCTGGGTTTTTGGCTTAGGTCATGATCTCACAGTTCATGGGGTCGAGCCCCGAGTCGGGTTCTACATTGACGGTGCCCAGCCTGCTTGGGGCTCTCTCTCTCTCCCTCTCTGCCGCTCCCATGCTCACTCTCTTTTTCTCTTTCTCTCAAAATAAATAAATTTAAGAAAATCACTTACTTACATTGTGTATGTCACCTTAACGTGTTTATTGAGTATCTGCCGTGCACTAGGTATTATGCCTCGCGCTCTATACGTTCTCTCATTTTCACAGCCAGCCTTTGAGGCAGGTACCATTGTCATCCCCGTTCTACAGATGAGGAAACAGTCGTATTGATAGGAAGGCTCTAAGCTATCTGAAATTCAGCCCCTGGTCCTTTCCCAAAACCGCTCCACTTGTGCTCCCCCCCTTCCCCTGACTGGACAGGATCGCCATCTTCAGCTGCTCAGCCCCCAGGCCTGGGAGTCCCCCCCCCCGTCCCTGCCCCCACTGCATGCCTGGCCCCCTGGCCCTCCCGATGTCCTGCCCATGTCTATTGCCTCCATCCCCACCACGGCCTCCCCCTGCTTCCGCTCTCACCCCTCAGCCTCTCCTCCGTGTCTGAGTTGGACCCAAGTCAGACGGGGCCACCCCACGCTCCTGGTCCCCTCACCCAGCTCCGTTTTTTAAAATCCATTTTAGCACCTGTCAGTCATCTTCCATCCGCACTATATTATTTCCCACTGATTGATTTCTATTTTTGTTTTGTCTGCTCTCTTTTCTCACCAGACTACGTAGGGATTTTTTACAATTTTTGTCCTTCCCACTGATCTATCCCTACTAGGTGCTCAGTGCATTGTGGATTGAATGACTTCCCCGGAGGCCATCGGCAGGTGAGTGCAGTCAGCGGGACACTAATTCTTCCCCTTCAGGCACGATGCACATCCGTCTGGTGCGCAGTGTCCCCCAGACCTAGTCGGTCACCACCGTGCTGTGACTGTCTGTGCAGAACACTCTGCAGATGGCCACTGCGGGAACGGCTTTCTCTGAAGGACGGCCTGCTCTCCTTGGCAGCGCCCGAGGGCTTCTCCGCGGCCCCTGGGCTCCGGGGCCAGCTGCCCGGCCGGCCCCCGGCGCCTTCCTGCGCTCTCACCCCAGCTCCCATCCTGCAGCCCCGCCAGCCAGCGTGCCCAAGCCGTCCCGTCCTCACTGTCCCTTCTCCGTCACCCCCCCAGCCCAGCGCCGGCTGCCTCCGGGTCCGGCGCCGGCTTCCCCTCCAGCGCGGCCCGGCATCTCTCCCAGCAGCCGCACGGTCCCGTGACGCTCAGACTTGACCCGGGGCCCCCCTGCTCGGACGCCTCTCCTCCCCCTCATGGGACCCACGTGGTCCAGTCCCAGCCCACTTGACACCTCTCACCCTGACACCTTCTTTCTCCAGGTTTTTCGAAGACCAAAGCCTTTCCTGCTTCAGGACCTTTACCTGTGTGTGCCCCCCACCCAGCTGCTCCTCACGCTTCAGGTGACAGCTTGGCAGTCACTTCCTGTGGTTGCCTCCCCTCAGGCCTAGGCCAGGCTCCCAGCTGCGGGTCCTCAGGGCGCCTTGCACTGACCCTTTGTGTCATTTGCCTGGGTGTGACTTGATTAAGGGCTGTCTCGCTCGCTCACTCCGAGCCCCTCGTCACAAGCAGATCATAGCTCTTTTGCTCACCTGTGTCTCCTCAGGCCTAGCCCAGGGCCTGGCATATAACAGATGGTCGAGAACATCCTGTGCCTTCAGTGCCCTTCTCCTTCCTCTCTAGCAGCAAACTCCTACTCATCCATCAAGACCCAGCTCCAGTGTCCTCTCCCTGGAGACTTGGCAGCCGGCCCCCCCTCCTCTGTGTCATCACAGAGCTTTGCACCTCCCTTATTCTGCACTTAGTCCACTGGGTCAGAGCCCTGGGTCTTTCCTGCTGCTTCCGAGCTGCTCGGGGGCGGTGCTGGGCACAGCGCCTTACAGGCAGTTGGCACTCTGGAAGTGTTTGTGTCTTACCTGATGTACCTCTTGGGCTCATTGTTACTTACCATTTATGTTGTTTTCTGTCTGCTTTGTGTAGTGTGATTTCCTCAGCTGCTTGGTCACTTCCTGGAAGGCGGGCTCAGTGTCACAGCCCCACTTTTGCACCCCTATTCCAGAAGCCTGACACGGGGCTGTGTACGCCTAGAAGGACTTCAGTAAAGCCTCCTTTTAATTTAATTTAATTAATTATTTTTCTTTTATTAAAAAAATTTTTAATGTTTATTTTTGTGAGGGAGAGAGAGAGAGAGAGAGCGAGAGCGCGCACGCGCAAGTGGGGGAGGGGCAGAGAGAGAGAGAGGGAGACACAGAAGCCGAAACAGGCTCCAGGTTCTGAGCTCTCTCAGCAGAGCCTGACACAGGGCTTGAACCTGAGCTGAAGTCTGACACTTTACCGACTGAGCCACCCAGGCGCCCTTTATTTTTTATTTTAGAGGGAAAAAGCAGGGGAGGGGGCAGAGGGAGACAGAGAGAGAATCTGAAGCAGAGCATGGAGCCCATCACGGGGCTCCATCCCACGACCCTGGGATCGTGACCTGAGCCAAAATCAGGAGTTGGACACTCGATGGACTGAGCTACCCAGGTGCCCCAGTAAATCCTTCTTGAGTCTATGTCATATCTACATTTATTTTATTATTTTATGATGTCATACCTACTTAAGGTTACAGGGGCCGTGGCAATTTTGAGAGACACTTTGACATCTTTTTTCTCATTCTGGACCAGCTTTATAATTTGTGGGACCCAGTGCAGGGCCTCGTGTTCAAAAAGTAGTGAGCATTTCAGGACTGTGATAGCAGAGCTTTAACCCAAGGGTGAGGCTTCTAGGCTTCAGCCCATGAAGCCAGCCCTGATCTCCCTGTACCCAGCAAGGGACAATACGGTAGAGACCATGATTTCTTTTTTACCGATGGCAAAATGAAGGGCCCAAAGGGCAGTGACCAACCTCAGCCGCACCAGTGACCGGCAGCAGCAGGGAGCCGGAAACAGTCCCGCTCCTGGAGCACGCTACTGTCTTATACTGGCTGAGCGGCCCCCACAACTTTGAGCCTCAGTTTCCTCCTCTGTAAAATGGGGACATTGGCCTGATCATAAAATGGCAAATAGAACAGCTGGCAGTGAACCCCTGAACGGTCCCATCAGGAACACCACCCGAGCCTTTGGATGCCTTCCCCTTAAAGTCACAAAGTTCTTCTCTGCTTCTGGGAAGGGCCTGAGTCCTATAGACGGTAGGAGGCTAATTGGCTTTTGTGGCAGTTGAAGAAATTAAAGCCCCTCGGAAGTGAGAGAAGGCTATCTCTTCTCATCTCTTTTTGAAGGAATGTGAGGACTGGGGTGGAAGGTTCCCCGGGAAGCCTTGGTATTTCGGTATTTTGATATCTAGGGGAATGAAAGAGCAATTAATCACTATAGATGCCCGTTCCCGTAGGGGTAGTCTGAGGGTGAGGGAGTGGCAGGGGTGGGCCATGGCTCCTCATCCGAGGGCCATTGCTGGTTGAAGAGAGACCCAGACCAGAGACTGGAGGTTCGAGTTAGTAGCTACCTGTAGGGGAGGCTTTTGAAATCTCTCTTTCTCTGGAAAACACGTTTTCTTCAGCCCCTTGGGTTAGTGAGCGTCTTTCTTGGCTGATAGACAGTGGAAGAGGGCTCTGAGTGCTCCCCGACATCCTGCACCTCCCGGTTTCTCCAAGTGTTAGTCTCGGATCTCTGTCCTCACGGCAGGCCTGAGAGCTGGGAGTCTGCCCGTAACCAAGGACTCCAAGGTGAGTGCGCACAGCACAGGAGGTGACCGGGCTGGAGCGGCCGGGCGCCACTCCTCCGTGCTCCCACCTGCCTCTGGCTGTGCTCCTGCCCGAGGAACCTGCGAAGGACCTGAACGATGAAGTTGTGTGTCAAGGGGCAGAAGAGGAGAAGGCAGTGCTGATTCCTGCCTGAGGCGTGTTTGGGGCCAGTGGACCTGTGGCCAGGCCCGTAGGTTGTCAGTGACCCGCAACTGTGTTTTACGTGTGTGGGGGGTGAGTTTATGTTTACGCATGCAGCCACAGGTGTGCGCCAAGCACAGGACAGACGTGAACGCGAGTCTGAGCACAGAGCGGGCGGAGCCTGGCCCGGGCTATGTTTGGTGGGTGGGACACCTTCCCGTGCAGGTGCGGGACTTGCTCATCAGCTGCCCTGGGGTGACTCACTTCGGTGACAACGTCTCTGAGCGCAGCTCTCAGTTGGACTTGGTGCCTAATGCAAGGCAGGAGGGTGTGTGGTGACCTGCTTCAGCCGGAAATGACAGGCAGGCATTAGCTGCACTCAGCACCTTATCCCAGAGCTGCCGGTGCGGGTTCCCTGGGCTGGCCAGACACACAGGTATTTCTGGACCGCGCCAGAGCCCGTTGCCATGTGCTGCCCGCCGGTGCTGGGTGGCCATCAGCGTGGGGCGTGGGCGCGGGCTCCAGGCCCGCCCGGCTCCGCCCATGACCTGGGTTCTGTGTTTCCACAGGGCCGCACCTTCCTATTTCTGCCCAGCCACAGCCCTCCCAGCACAGTTGAGCAGCTGTTCGCCTGAAGTTAATTTCCAGAAGCAGGTAAGGACCCCCGGGGGAAGGGCTTTGGGTAACGGGCCTCAGAGCAGTGCTGGGAGTGGGCCTCGGGTCCGGGCTGTGGGGCCCAGCGCCCAGGGAGCGCGCCTCGCTTCCCTCCCCATCGTGCCTGATCCTGGCCCATTTCTGCAGCCCGTCTGGGTTCTCCCAGCCAGGGCTGCACTGCCACCGCTCTGTGGCTTCGGCTAAGATGTGTCCGGTCTCCGAATTACCGTTGTGTGTAAGTTCTGCGAATCACACAATGATACGTTGTCGTTTCATGCAATATAAATGTTGTACAAATGTAAATGTACATTATTGTAAGCACTCAAAATGTATCACAACTCTTTCTTTAAGTTTATTTGTTTTGAGACAGAGAGAGCAAGTGGGGGGGAAGGGGCAGAGAGAGAGAGAGACAGAGACAGAGAATCTCAAGCAGGTTCCGCCCTGTCCGTGCAGAGCCCGCTGTGGGGCTCGAACTCATGAAACCGTGAGATCGTGACCTGGGCTGAAACCAAGAGTTAACCCACCGAGCCACCTGGGCACCCCAAATATATCATGACTTTAAAAAAAAGTGGGGTAGAACAAAAGGCAAGTGCTGGGGCCCGTGGAACAGAGGCGGCCCGTGTGTGTCGGGGATGCTCCAGCTGTGCGGCCCAGCCTCAGGTTGCTCCCTCTTCTCCAAGCAGGTGTCACACCACCCGGGTATATGTGTCTATTCCAGTTTTATAAATGTGGGTATTCAAACAGCACGAGCTTCAAGTTTATACATAAAAAAGAGTGCAGGTGGCCGTGTTTGTATTGAGGGCCACTGACACTTGTCAAAGGGAGGCCCGCTCTCGAAGCCGCATCTCAGAACGGGTCTGACTGCACGGAACTCCCCCTGCACCGCGACTCTTCTCAATGCTGGCGACCGCTGCACGGCTGGGGACCGTGCGCCGCTAGAAGTTAGGTCCCTGCAGAACAGGGCCGGGGGCTGCTGTCTTATGTGTGACCTCCATGTCTCCCACGGAATGCGGTGTGGCCCCTTGGGCCACGGGCCACATTTGTCACTTGGTATGGATCCTTCCCAGTGGTTGGGAGCCCCTGCCCCACTGTCTCTTCCCTGTCAGCCTCCTTTCAACAGAGATGCGGGCTGGGAACCTGCAGGAGCGTGCGGGCTGTGGTGGGAATACGTCTGTGTGTCTGCACTGAACGCACGTCCCTCTGTGTCTCTGAATTGCATTTGTCCCCATCAGATGTGATTTCTGCATCTGTACCTGCTTTTTTGCATACCCGTGGATACCTGCAGCATGACCTACGGCCACGGGCCTCTGCCCTCACCATTCATTTGGGGGAGTTGATGGTTTCCTGTCTCCATTTTCCACTTTCTGGCTCCTTTATGCTTTTCCCTAGTTAGCTTCCATAACAGCAACATCTTAGGAGAGGGAGCAGGTCTGTCTCTGACTTGGGCGGTTGACACTGAGACGTTTTCTCAGGATCTAGAATGGAAGTACCGGCATGATAGACGATGGATGGGATGCTTACAGAGCTAGCGGGAAGACCGTGAAGGAGAAGCATCAGTACTTCCGCCTTTCACCGCGGAGGACTGAGTAACTACTGTGTCTAAATTAGTTGCAGTTTGGACTCATGTAATTCAAACACATTTTAATGGAGCTCTTTAATGGAGTCCTTCATCCCTACAGGGGAGCATCAGAAGTTTCAAAGGAAGTTAATCTGATATTTGTGAGATTTGTGATGAAAATTTAATAGCATGTTTGCTTGGACAGGCACCAAACCCAAACATACTCTGATATACTTGTCACATATCAGCGACTGAAATGGATGTGTCATTTGGACTGATTACAATTTACTGTCTTCAGTGATTAATTTTCTTTACATCAACACCCCTGATGCAGATTCTGTTTAGGACGGAACCACATAAACCAGTCATGATGTTCCAGTCTGTTAGGATTGCAGTGTGCTCGTGGCCACGTTCTGCCCCAGATCCGGCCCTGGGTGTGTTCCCCTTGTCCAGGGGCCTGGCAGAATCAGCTCAAAGTAGAGCTCAAAGAATACTAGAAAACCAGAATTAGGGGAAACGACAAGGGCCTTCCTCAAAGCAAGAAGAGGCAGTTTAAGAAACTGTCTCTGCCAGGGAATCATGCGGAATTGGGAGTAGCCTGGCCCCAAAGACCCCTTCAGGCCCCCTGACGCTCCAGGCCCATAACTGGAGTTATGGTGTAACCCCACCACCACCAGTAATCACAGTATGAGTGGGGGAGGTGCCCCGGAAAGCAGGGCTACAATGGCGGAAGACCATGGCATGACATCGATCTGTACAAGATGCCGGAGGTGGTAGGATTGTTGGACACGGCAAAACTCTGTAAAAACTGTGTAAATTGACTCACACACACACTCAGGCTCATGGTCACACTCACACTCACACACTCCTGTTGGTTCTGAGCCCACGTCTCTGTTGGGAAGCTTGGCCCCGTCCGGAAAGGACATTGAAAAAGGGGTTCCCAGTCGCTGGGAAGCCAGGACCCCTAGGTCCTGGGATGGTCAGCAAAACCAGATCCATATCCTTCCTTGCCTGAGCAGAGCCGCCCCCGAGTCATGACTACGCCTTGCTCTGGGACCTGGGACAGGGGTGTGGTTTGTGACCTAGGATCGGAATAAGGGCTCGAACCAGATGGGCCTGTTGGGGAGTTGGGGAGGGGGGAGGCACGGAACCGCAATGGAATTCTGCTTCTTTTGTGTGTGGGGACACCTAGTGGCTGCTCCCTGGTCTTCAAAGCTGTCTTTGACAAGGGGAGAGCACACTGACCACTAGCCCTTGGACACAGGATGGAGGTGGAAGACTTTTACTCCCCAAAGCCCTGACTCCCAGTTTGAAAGCTCTGTGGAGTGTTTCACACGTCCTCTGGAGAGCTCCATAGCCCAAGGCACTCCAGCCGCTCAAATGGGGGTCCTTTGTCAAGGCTCAGTTCGGTTGTGGAGACTGGATGGGGTACTCTGGTCTGTTTCAACATGGTGACATTTGGTCCTAAATCAGCATGGATATTGTAGAGAGAGGGAAGCTGCCACACCACAGGCTGTCTCGATTTTTCCATTCAGCCAACTGGGCGGTTGGCTGCTAGGTTAAGTGCCTGCTAGGCACGGTGCTGGGCGGTGGAGGACGGGGTGAGCCAGGCGGGCCCTGGCCTTCAAGCCTGGCAGGGGAGAGACAATCAGCAAGTACTCCAGCAAGGGACTTCCAGAAGATTCCTGAGCCTGGGCTATGTGACTGAGTGGGTGTAGGGGCTGTGCTGTCAGGAAAGGTTCCCCGGGGAAGGCGTCTTTAAGCAAGTTGAAGGGTGAAAATAAACCAGTCCAGGCTCAGGGGACACCCAGTGCAAAGGCTGCTGGGGAAAAGAGCTTCTTGGCATGTTCTAGAAATAGACTGGGGTCAGGAAGGCAGAGTGTGAGGAGAGGCGTGAGGAGAAGGAGGCCTCGTGGGGTAGTGCAGTGGAAGGAAGTGAGAAGTGATGTCCCAGAACCGGGCTCCCGTCAGAGACCCTCTTGACGTGGCTTACCCCTCTTTCCTGGTTATCAGCAGTCACTGGGGTTTTTTCCCCAAGCCCAGAGGGGGCAGCAGATGAGTAGACTGTACAATAGGGAGTCTGGGGCTCGAGTGGGTTTGAAAGGAAGGCCCCAGAAGGACACCTACTACATCAAGTATGCAGCCTCTCCTTCAGCCCCAGCTTGCTGGCTTTTTAGCCTGTTGTGCGGACTTTTAGGGCCAGAGCCCCTGTTAGCTTAGCGGACGGAGCACTTGACTGGGACCCCCAGGCAGGCTGCTGCCCAGGGCTCTGGTGCCTTTCCGAGCCTGCTCTTTGCCCAGAGAGCGGGCCCGCCTGGGACAGCCTGCTGGTCCAGGGCTTGCTGGCCCCTGAGGATGGACGGAGTGAGGAGTGTCCTTGGCTTGCAAGCCAGGCTCCCTGGGTCCCCCAAGCGCAGCTCCTTGGCAGCAGGGCTGGTGAGGCTCCACCCCCGCCAGCTGCCGCGTTATTTCTGACTCATCCAGGAGTTACAAGCCTGTAACCCAAACCCCTCCACGCCCGGCTTCCTCTCCGCCGGCTCCTCCTTGAGTGGGCAGACCCTGGGACGGCTCTCCCGGGACCTTTCTGCAGGTTGGGTCCCTGCTGTACCCGGACACAGGAGCTGCCCTCTGACAGGTGGGGCCGGGCGTGTGTGCGTGACGGCAGTGAGCTCAGGGGTGGGCGTCTGTGCCCCGCAGCCCGGGCCTGCCTGTTCCCGTCGAGGGACTCCTTGGAGCCCAGCCCAAGAGCTGGCCTCTTGAGTTCGTCAGGGGCTTGTGCGGAGGGGCTGCCCTGGCCTTCGGGGCTCAGTACTGAGCTCGTGGTTTCTCCTGCCAGAGGCGCCTGCTGGCTGCTTCTGGCCATGTCACTTTTGCCCCTTCTGGAAGTCGCGTGCTTGGAAACCCTGGGACTCTGGGCTTCGTTCAGCACATCTGCGGCGCAGAGCAGGGCTCTCGCTGAGGGGTGGCTGGAAGGTCGAGCTGGCCCGAAGTCGGGGTCAGCTCAGACTCCTGGGCCTGACCGCTCCTTGCAGAGGGTGCTGGCCGCCGGCGCCCGCTGCAGATCTAGCTGCTCGGAATGCCGCCTGGGGCCCGTGGGGGCGTGGGAGGAACGGGCAACTCACCCCCTGCTCTGGGCTCTCAGACGCGAGACCCTGCGGCGCCGCGGGCTGCCCGACGACTCCCGCCGAGCACCCAGTCTGGGTCTGGGGTGTCTCCTCCCGACGCCGCTTCAGCGCTTCTCCTCGCTCCGCAGGAGTCCCCAGGGCTGGCCAGGGAATGAACCGCGAGGGGGCGCCCGGGAAGAGTCCGGAGGACATGTACATTCAGCAGAAGGTCCGGGTGCTGCTCATGCTGAGGAAGATGGGATCAAATGTGAGTGCCTTCGGGGTGCCGAGCAGCGGGGCGCCCAGGGAGGGTGCTGCTGGGGGCGGAGCAGAGGGCTGTGGCCACGTCCTGTAGCAGCTGTGGTCTGGGGAGGGGGGTGCTGGGCTTGGGGTTCGGCTCCGTGGCTGACTCGTGCCCGTCCAGCTGCGGGGGCACCGCTGGGACAGTCTTCCCATCCCCATGCTGAGCTTGGGCCAGCTGGATGTGAGCCCTCAGGGTCTGACCTCCCTGCCCTCCCGTCTCCCCGGGAGGTGCCCCCTTAAGGGATGCTGGGCAAGACGGGCACCGAGAGGGCAGCATTGTTCAGAAAGAAAAGGATGGGCTTCCCGGGAAGGGCCTGGGCTTCCTCCTGGCCCCGTGCTGCTCTGGAACTCAGTCTCAGATCTGATCCGAGGGGCAGGGCCTGCGGGCCCGTGGACCAAGTTTCAGGTGGGGTTAGGGGCTGCTCGCTCAGGAACTGAAGGGTCAGGAGTCAGGAACAGCGGGCCCAGCGATTGGAGGAGGAGGGACCTTCTGGGGCCGGTGCGCTGCCCCTCACCGTGGCTGTCTCACCCTCGCAGCTGACGGCCAGCGAGGAGGAGTTTCTGCGCACCTACGCGGGGGTCGTCAACACCCAGCTCAGCCAGCTGCCCCAGCACCCCATCGACCAGGGTGAGTCCCCGCCGGGGCGCCCAGCCACGCACCTCCCGGAGGCGCCTCATTGTGTTCCCTGGAGAAAACGTAGCTCCCGGGGCAGACGAGGGGGCCCGCTGCCTCCTAGCCACAGGGCTGAGGCCCAGGCCTGGGCCCGTCTCCTTCCCCAGGGGCGCGCCGAGGACCCAATCAGGTAATGGTGGGAGCCCTTTCTAGGCCTGGGGAAGGTAAGAAATGAAGGTGTCCGGGGCTCCGGTTTTTGCATTTCCTCAGCCTTTGGCTTGACCTCGGCCCACCCAGTACCCTCACATGCCAGGACCGGCCCTGGGCACCGGTTATGTGCAGGAAGCTGGTGTGCTCCTGGCTGTGCCCAGGCAGGAGGCCCCGATGGCTCTGAGTGCCCAAGGTGCCCATCTGCCTGAGGGAGTGATTTCCTTTCCGGGTGCCCTCGCTTGATCATAATAATGGGAGTGGGAAACATGTAAGTATTTATTGTGAATGCTCGATATACGTAATTTCATTTAATCGTAGAGAGCTACTGGGTGTATTACTTGCACTCAAGGGGCAAGGAAATGGGTTCAGAAGCACCAAGTGGTTACCCTGGTCCCACGGCCAGTCACCAGAGGGCTCAGGATGCAAACTTGCTGCCCGGCTCGGGGCAGGCCCCTCCCGGAGCCGCAGGAGGCTGTCAAGTGCTTACAGGCTCCATACTTCTGGAAGGCTTGCCCTGACCCCATAGCCCACGACGTCCTGACCAGCACTTCCATCTAGGCCTGTCCTTTTATTTATCTTTTTGTTTAGTTAGAATTGTTGGCCATAAAATCGTGTGGCCCGTGGGGGGGTCAGATGTGAGCCGGCTCCCCGCAGCAGCGCGGCGAGGGGCGTGTGCTGATCCGCGGGCCGAGGAGCAGAGCCGGTGTAGCCCGCAGGGCCGCCTGTCTTGCAGCAGTCCCTGCTCTCCTGGGTATCACAGGCCTCAGCTCTGGCGCAGGGCCCAGCTCCCAGCTCTGACGCCGGGTGTCACCTGGCCCCCGTGCACCCAACTCAGCAGAAACGTACAGGGTGTCCCGGTGGCTTGGGCAGCAAGTCGGGACAGCCGCTCGCTGAGCACAACCTGCCTGGGCCACGCTCATGCCACAGCCTGCTTGCTGTATGCCGGCTGTTGGGGGCGGGGTCTGCCCTTCCTGGGGCTTGGTTTCTGGGAGAGAGCCTTTCTTTTTTTCTTTCATCATAAAATATACATAACATATATTTTATTATTTATTTATGTATTTAATTAATTTATTTAAGTAGTGTATAATCTCTACACCCATCGTGGGGCTCAAACTCATGACCCCAGGACGAGAGTCACACACCCTTCTGACCAGGCCAGCCAGGTGCCCCTGGGAGACAGCCTTTCTCATCCACAGCTGATCTGGGTTTCTAGCTGATCTGGGTTCTCCCTTCCCCCCCCAAGCTCCTGAACCATATCTCCCTGAGGCCCTCAGGCTTCTGGGTTCTCCCACCCCATTGTTAGGTCACTGAATCAACCAGAATTTGGGCTGGTGATAAGAAAGCCTCTGGTAGAATGCTTTTAATGGAAAAAATCATAATAAGTTGTAGAACCAAATGTCAGTATAGAACAGCCCTCTCCCCCCACACTCACACGTGTGTGTGTGTGTGTGTGTGTGTGTGTGTGTGTGTATAGGAAAAAAAGCTGAAAGAATATAAACCAAGCTGTTAATAGGGAGTTTTGATGTGGCTGGAACTATATAAGGGACCTTAACTTTCCAAGTCACACATTTTTGTGAGACTAATTTTTTCACATTGCACATACATTTCTTCTGTAAAACAGGCCAGTTTTTATTTTATTTTTATTTTTTTAACTATTTATTTTTGAGAGGCAGCGTAAGCAAGGGAGGGGCAGAGAGAGAGGGAGACACAGAATCTGAAGCAGGCTCCAGGTTCTGAGCTGTCAGCACAGAGCCCGACATGGGTTTCCAACTCACAGCCTGAGAGATCATGACCTGAGCTGAAGTCGGTCACTCAACCAACTGAACCACCCAGGCGCCCCAAAACAGGGCAGTTTTTTTTTTTAATGTTTTATTTATTTCTGAGAGAGAGAGAGGCAGGGTGAGCAGGGGAGGGTCAGAGAGAGAGGGAAACACAGAATCTGAAGCAGGCTCCAGGCTCTGAGCTGTCGGCACAGAGCCTGACGCGGAGTTCGAACCCATGAACTGTGAGATCATGACCTGAGCTGAAGTCAGACACTTAGCTGACTGAGCCACCCGGGTGCCCCAAAATAGGGCAGTTTTAAAAAGCACTAAGAGAACCCTCTATCTTGCCTAGCTAAGCCAGCAGTGGAGAATAAAAATGAAGTCTGCTGAGTTAAGCTCATGGTGACCTCCCCTGGCCTGAAGCGGTTAGGCAGTCAGGAGTGAGCTGTGGGCACATGAGTGTGGCCCCAGAATCTGGGCCCTCCTGGGGGAAGGGGATGTCCATGGGACAGACAGGCGGGCCTCACATACATCTCCTGGGGAAACAGGCTTCAGAAGCTGCAGCGGAACCCAGGGGAGGGTCTTTGGGGGTGCTGCTGGCTGGGGTGGTTCTCTGCTCTTGGGGTTCCCTGCACACTGCCCGGGCCCCCACAGTTACTTCTGAGCTGAACCACATAGGAAGTTGCACACTGCAGAAAGTCCTAAGGCCTCTTGCGGCCCAAGCAGGAGGCGGGTAGGCAGCCATGCCCGGAAGAGCTTTATAAGCATAGCGTCGTGCATTTTGTGTCCCTATGGCGTCTGCAGACAAATGCACAACAAAGCAGCACTCAGCACGATCTCTCTCGTCATGGGGACACAACCCTGAGGGCAGGACGCTGCCTTTCTGCCCACACCGTGGGGCCAAATGAGTCTTGGCTAAGATTCTGGCCTGCCCACCGCATCTGCTGGCAGGGCCAACCTCAGCTGACGCCGCAGGGGTGCCGCTGGCAGGGGCTCAGGTGCTGGCCAAGTTGTAAAACCCTGGAACATTGCTTCCAGTGCCTGGGGTCCCAGCATCAAAGGCCCCTCAAAGGCCTAGGAACAGGCAGAGTGGTGGAGAGGACAGTCCGGTCGGACCTCTGGTGTGAGCACCTCCGGCCACGAGGTGGCGCTGTGTCTCAGCAAATGCCCAGGGCTCTCCGCTGCGAGAGAGCAAAGACTCCAGCTCCCCTCTGTGGGGGCCTCCGAACAAGCCACCAGCCAACCAGACAGAGCTCGGCGTCCGTCTACAATCTTTACGCTCGCACAGGCTTCGCCTCTGGGGCTGGAAGGCTCTGGTCCTGGGGGCACTGCTTGCCCTCCCTACCCCCGGGGAGGAGGGTGGACTGGGCGTCCCTAGCCCCGTGCCGGGGCCTCCCGCCCCCCTGGTCTTCCCCTGGTGAACACGTGTGCAGTGTCTGCCGGGTCCTCGCTGGTGCCAGAGACCGTGCTATGCGGGGCCTGCGCCGGTGGGGCTCACCGACCAGTGCTAAGTGGTGGGCCTGCCTGGCCTCTGCTGTCTGAGACCACCCACAACAGCCTCCTCCCGGAAGCCCTCCTTCCTTTCCCCCATCCTCTGTGATAACACCTGTGTGTCTTACTGTCTCTTGGTCTCCCCAGACCCCACCTTCTGCCCCTCTGTTCACCGCCCGTGAGCGCTCCTTTTCCTGCACCACCCTGGTGCCCTCCACATTCTACCCGCTGTGTCACACCTCCCCCTGCCGGTCTCCCTCGATCTGGGCAACGCCCTCCAGACACACACCTTCCGGCCAGACCCTCTCCTGACCCCTCAGAACTTGACGCGCAGCTCCCTACTGACCATCTTGCCACAGGCAACCCACACTCAGCTTCACTCGACCCACCGAATCCGTTCTTCCGCCTGTATTCTCAGGTGGGACGGATGTGTCACCAAACACCCAGGGCCCCGGGGACCCCGCTTCGAAGACCCAAGTGTCTAGCAGATCACCAAGTCTTTGTGCTTCACTTGCCCTAATGCTCCTCAGATCTACTCCGTCTTCGCCATCTTGGTTTGAACCCTCATTTTGTTCAGAGCACGTGTTCATTTTTGTCTTGATCACTGCCCGGCACCTTGACTCTTCTCCTTGCCCCGACTTAAAGTCTTCCAGTGGCTCCCTGCTGCCTTGTGGATGACATCCAGCCCCCTGGTATGATGGACAGGACTCCCCGACGCTGTGACCTCACGCACTCTAAACAGCCAGGGCCAGTGGCTTCCAGCTTCTGTCTCAGGCTCCCTTTGTGCCTCTGCACTTGCCTCCGGGCTGCCAGGAGCCCAGCTCTGACCCCCAGCCTTCCCCTGCCTGTTGCAGGCCCAGCCGGGCCGGGCCCTCGTGATTCCCACCCCGCGCGCGAGCTACTCCCGCACTGTCTCCTGATCGTCTCTTGGGCAACCCGAGACCCTTGAGTTTGGGGCTGTGGCTTCCCACTTTGTATTTCTGGGGCTGCCCACCCCTACGCGCCCCGCCCACGGAGGCCCAGTGCACACACAGACAAATGAACGGGCCAGGCTCTCTCTGGGTCTGAGAGCCCACTGTCCCCCAAAAAGGCAGGAACACGGAGCCAATCTGAGTGCTGTCTCCTGCTCCCCGAGGGCGGCCGAGCAGACCCTACAGCCAGGCAGGACTGATTCTGAGCCAGAGATCAATACTCCTCTGGAGAGGTCACCTTGCTGAGGAAGGCTGGCGGTGGGTGTGGGGGCCGGGAGCTGTGGCCTAGAAGAACAGGCTGGACAGAATGCTGAGCTCATTGCCTTCTTCTTGCCAGTGGTCTCTCCATAATGCAGACCGATCCCTTTTCCTGCTTATAGAATAATGCATAGTCATCGTGGAAGACTGGGGAAAGGGAGGGGCAGCAGAGAAGCCGAATCGATCGGATCCTACCGCACAGCTGCAATCACTGTTACCTTCTGCTCAATTTCCCATCAGCCTTTAAAAAATATGTTTATCGGGTTGCCCGGGGGAGCCCAGTAGGTTAAGCGTTCGACTCTTGATTTCGGCTCAAGTCATG